TTTGCATATATGATTCTTTAGACTCATTTGATGGAGTTTTGCTTTTCTTCCATTAGGAGACTTAGTGTAATTAAAAGAGTGTGTCCTTTAAATATTTCTCTCACTCAATGCTGCATTCATAACACAATTTCAAGATGACGCCTCTAATACTTGAATATTTGCCCATATATAATGTAATATAGAAACATTAAGAGATGACAAGCATTTTAAAAAATTACATTTACTTATTCTATTTATTAATGTATATTTCTGATGATAATGGGACTTTTGTTTGCCTGTTTTTGTTCATTTCCAGAGAAGATCTTGTCCTGTAGCTTATGCTAATATTGAATTTGAAGTCATTGTCCTGCCTCTGCCTCCCAAGTGCTGGGATTACAGGTGAGACTTGTGCCTAGCTATCAGCTTCTATTTGGCCACTCTCTCCAAACCTCTCACCAGCTTTTCCCTTTCATTGTCCAGGCAATGAGCCCATGGGAAGGATGTGATGGTTTATCGTGGTATTTTCTTGAACTTGCATGTGTTTGTTTGTTTGTTTTGGGTTTTTTTTTGGTACCAAAATCATTTAAAGGTTTTGTTGTTGTTGCTGCTGTAGTTATTGTTTTATTTTTAATTTTTTTTCAAACCACTCATTTACTCTGGGGGTCAATTTTATAGCTCTTTCAAAACAATGATTCTTGAATTGTTACTATATGTTTTGCTCAAAAGTGGGGTGGAGCCGTAGCAACCTTCCTCTCATGCGGTGGGACCCCCGCCACCCCCCCGTCTGTCTGAACTGTAAAGATCCTTGCCTTACCTTGGAGGCCATCCACCAAAAATAGTTGAAAATGGTGACATCATTATATTGTTTGTAAAAGTAGCATCTACTCCATCAGGAGTGCTAAGTGCCGAGCAGTGAGAAAGGCCTTCTCAAATGTCTAATTGCATCTATAGGAAACGGTCTTACGGTCACTTTTTACAGAAACAGAAACCGGAACTTAAGTAAGACCTAGAATGCTCACACCATCACATAGTATTTAGTATCAAAGCAGGCACAAAATAGAATATTTTACTTCAAGAAGAGTTTGTTCGTTCTGAGCAAATGAGAATTTAATGGAGAATTTGCATTATTTTTCTGCCTAGAGTTCTTTTCTGGAAGACCCAGTCTTGGATGATGGCTGAGTCAGAGCTCCCAACCCTTCTAATCCTGTCCACTCTTTCTGTTGCTATGCCTTAATGCAACAGAGGTTAAACTTCAACTTTCAGGACACCAACATGAGGGCACCTTCGTGGCCTCATTTGCATTAGTTTGCATACGGGCAATACCTGCTAAATTTTCTGTTGAGAATAAGGGAGAATACAGACCACAAGGCCCCTAGATACACAGAGGCTGGAAGAAATGCCAGGAGTTCAAAGGGCACATTGGAAGATTGCTAGGATTTAAGTATGACTTAAGCCTAATTCCCACTTTCTCCCAAGGCCAGGTCTACAGAGTAAATATTTAGTAATTTTTGTATCTGTTAATATCTGTTTTATTTCTCTGTTGTTTGTCTCCACATAAAATGTTGCCCACCCTGTGCTTCTACGTTCACACTTCCTTTGACAACAGTCCATCAGCCCACTGGGGTTTTTGAGTATCTGGTTTCTTTGCTGTGCGTTAATCAGTTTCTCTTCATCTTGTTTTCCTCCCCTTGTCATCTGTCCACTAGAATGGTTCTGCTAATTTTAGCTTCAAATTAATTTACATTTCCCATAAACTGGTATTTGTCTTTTGCCTCTTATAAAATATTTACACTGGGCAGGCTGAATCATGAAAATGAAGCTAAAAATAACAGTATTTTTCATGTTGGGTTTTCAAAGAATACACGGATCATACTTTACTCTCGAAGTACTTTTTATCCCTTCAGTTAGCTTTTGCCCATGTGGCTCCAAGGTCTTTGCTTGTGGTTGGAAAAAGGAAAGAATTCTGTTTCCTTCGCATCCATCCATGATTTATTAACTCAACCGCTGGTGACTACAGTCCGGTGACCGGGAGCTGTAGGAGAGGGTATAGGGGAGAAAAGGCCAACTCTCTGCATTGTAGAGCTTCGTTAGAGGTAACACTCGATGAGCCTGTCAATGCAACAAAATTTCCTGAAAGCGGTAGGAGAAGTACTATGTGCTTACCTCCCGGGAGGGAGGTGTCCATGCTTTGTCTGGGAAGACAGTCGGAAGTGGCGCGAACGTGCTGAGGATTGCACTTTGCCAGGCTGTTGAGCTCTGTCAAACTCCTTTAGATCACAAAGCGCCAGGGTTATCTATGAAACCTTGGAAACTGGGAAACTGAGGGGTCCAAAGAGAGCCACAGAGCAGGACAGTGTCTTACGTTATTTGACTTTCACACCAGCGTTATTTGATTTTCACACCAGCTGGCCTTCGTGTCTTCCTCTATTGCTGCTGAGCTGTATACAGATAGAGCATTTACTTAACCTCGTTGTTTTTAGGGTTCATCTCCCACCCCTCACAAAAAATATGATGTAAAATTTCTCAAACAAAACAGGAAGGCTAAAGGAATTCACTATAGATGTGACATGCTGAACAGTTAATACACATTTACGATTAAGCCCTTTATTACTGCCATTGTTAGTATTGAAGAGATATTTCTAGAAGATTCTCTAACACAATCCAGGGCCTTTCACACTCAGGGAATGCATGCTTAGCAACTCCTTTTTGAGTCCTCTACGCCTTTCTTTCATGAAGAACAAAGCCACATTCCTGCTCAATTTATTCACATTTGACTTTTTGTTATTTGAAATTAATAATATTTATATCTATATATTTCATTAGACATTTCATTATACCTAATGGAATAATATTAGATGTAATATATTATTGAATATAGTATTAGACCTCTTTCAGTTTCCCGGTTTCAGGTGTTTTGTTCAAAATCCCCAAAGAAGACTTGCTGACAAAGGCTCTCCTTTGGACCTGGTTGGTATCCTTGTGTGGACGGGCTTCAAAGAAAAAGAGCCAGGACCACTCCTTGGATAAAGGTGGCTCTTTGGGACCTAAAGGAGTTTGATGGAGCTCAAAATCCATGTGAAGTGTTATCTTCAACATGCCCACTCCAGTTCATTCCAGTCTTCTTGGACAAGCATAGACATCCCCTTCCTGGATCTAAACACATAGAGCTTCTCCTATGGCGTCCAACGAACTCTGTTGAAATTATATATTTTATCAGACATCCATTATACCTAAGAGAATATAACCTAAAATCACCTTATCATCTTTATTTTCTCCTACCTGTTATCATCACTATTACTATTCCATGAATTCATTATGAATAAATTTGACGTTAATTAGAATCTTCATGTTTTTGTTAGACATACAAAATTATTAGCAGAATTTTAACTCTATAACCTTGGTGTTGCAAATGACAACACACTCTAAACATGAATAAACAAAAATCAGATAGAAATTAATACACACTTTCTACTACAGATTTAGGTAATTTAATTACTACATATAATATAGTGATTTGTAATATATAAAAATTGATGAACATACTATATGTAAGTTATATAAAAATGAACGTTGGAATTAACAGTTTCTGTATGTGCTACTATTCACAGAGAGAAGTATATTAAGCTTCTGGAGCTATTCAAGTATAACTGCTTTTTTTTTATATAACTGCTTTTTTAAGAAGGGTAAGATGCTGCATGCTGAAATTTCTAGGAAAAAAAACCTGACTTACATGCCAATACATACACGTACAGAAGACTCCAAAGTAAAGCCTCATGGCTCTCCTAAGAGTGTTCTATTGGAGTGAGTGGTCGTTATGGTCCTTAGGATTTTTCACTCAAAAAAAAAAAAAGATAAAAAGCAAATAAACAAACAAACAAAAAACCAGCCTTCATTCACTTTATAGACACTTCCATCAAGAAACCAGATACTCCGCACACAAGAAATAGTCAAATTTCATACCTGGGTATAGTTTTAATCATGCATTTCCGAATCCATAATTCTGCTATGACATAATCCAATTTGGATTTGATCTTACTCTACCCACAATGTTTTTTTTTCTTTTCTTGTTCATTTGTAGGTCTAATTTTGACTTCAACTTAAACAACCGAATGCCCCCCAGCATGCACCAAAAACTGAAAAGCATGGTATTGATTTTTATCATTGCATAGTCTAAAAAAATAGAATATTTTTTTAAAAATCTGCCTGTAAACAAGAGAAAAATCAAGGACAACCGTTATAAGGGTGTGAGGACTTTTTCACTGGCAAAACACAGTGTAAGGGATTTTAAATGTGAAAGGACCTTGTTGATATTGGTGCTTTGAACCTCCATGGCCTCCTTGAGGGTCCACTGGATCTGGCAGTAAAATGCTATCATCAGGAGTTCCCCTGTTTCTGTTCTACTGAATCCTCATTTATTATGGTTTTCTGCGTGCACAGACCATAGTAAGCTGTTTAATGATGGGCTGGGCAGGGAGGCAGGATAAGGCACAAAATCCAGCGACAAAGATGGATGGCTTGTATCTGAAGTTTTCTTTTTCCATTCATTTTTGGCTCTGTAAAAATATGGAGATCATGTAATAAAAATAGCCACCATTTGTCAAATGCTTACTCAAGCCCAGCATGAGATTAGGTTTGTAGGGTAGGTCTGTGGGAGGCACACTGGGGCTCATGAAGATGAAGAGAGGCTCCAGGCTTGCATGCGGAGTTGTCCTTCTGGGAGAGTTCCTTTGCAATAGTAGTGGAGATATTCCTCTCTCTCTCTCTCTCTCTCTCTCTCTCTCTCTCTCTCTCTCTCTCCCTCCCCCCTCTCTCTACTTTCTGCACTGAGGACTTAACCTACAGCTTTCTATATGCTAGGCAAGTTTGTTCCTACTTGAACTACATTGCTCGACATACTGTTTGTTTTAGGATATTGTCTTGCTAAATTTTCCAGGGAGGACTTGGGTTTTGTTCTTGTGATCTTTCTTCTTCTGCATCATCAATAGCAGGGATTAGTCATAAACTACTCACCTGAGCTTCCTTTTCACAGTTCTTTTTGCATTTTTATCACACTGTTTCCAGATTGTCAGGGATCTCATGCTTTTTCTTCCTTGGTCTAATGTGAGTGTTAGCTGGCTATCAGACTTCGGGTATGTACTGGAGAAAATACTGAGAATGCATTAATGGTTTTGATTCTTCTCTAAAAGGAGGAAGAGAACAGAAATCCATGTATGTGACATCACACTCTAGACCACATGGCCGCTTTTCTATTTTACTCTACAGTTTACAAATTTCTTATTTTGATTTCAGTTAAGTGTAGGATACATTGTTTAAAAACACCAATTCATTCTCAATTGGTTTAACACTCAACAGGTGGTAGAGCCTAGAAATCATCAGAATTACTCAGTAAGTGAATAAAGCAGTTCCTCTGTGATATTTTGTGCCTTAGTTAGATTCAGATGGAAAAAAATTGGGAGATAATTCAATGAAAATGTCTCCCCTTAAGGGGAGTTACAATGATAGGTTGAAGATTAAATATTGAACTTGTTTTGCTTACTAATTTTGATTAAAAGTGACATTCTTGAGCTTTTCAAGGAGAAGAATTTTGCGACTCCTCCAAGTTCAAGGGCAAAGAGTTTCATCATAAAATGATGCTGTTAGTTGTGGGGGCAATTGCTACCCATAAGACAAACAACAAATATTTATTTGCTAATTGTAGGATAGCAACCTACCTTATTGACTGCATACTACTCCATTTTTTTCCAGCTCATATGGTGATTTCTCCTGTCAGTGAATGCATGCATCAATTTTAGGATTTATATCCAAATTCGTTTAGGTTCTTTTTCAAATAAATTTTTTTTTTTTTGGCAGGTTGACATGTTACCAGAAGACCAGCAACAACAAAACCTTATCACTTCAAAGAAGCTAGATCTTCAGTGTCCCAGAGAGCATGGGAGCATGCATAAGATTCTGTTGGGTGCTGCACCTTCCAGGAGCGTGTTAGCATTAGGTCCTCCAACGCCAGCCTGGTCTGCATGATCCCTAGGTTCCAGGGGAGCTGTCCAAGTCTGTTGAAACCCGTCGTTTTACAACGCATTTCTTTCTCTATTTTCGTTGTATTTGCCAAAATGAACAAAACTGATTTTTGTCAGCTGTCAAGTGCAGCAAGATGTCAGAAGGGGGAGGGGGCAGGGGGGCAGTTTTTTCCATACATTCAATTCTTGTAACAAAAACAAACGATTAGACCATTGGGTGTCTGCTCCAGGAGAGGTTTAGGTTTCCAAAATTACATCGCACGCTCAGAACGAAGCAGATTGGAAGCAGTGCTTGGGTCAACAGGAAGGCTGGCAGTTTTGCTTGGTTCAGATGGAGCCAATAAGCTTTTGGCACCTTGGGAACAGCAGCCTGAAAATCCAAAGTCCTTAAGTGTGGCCTTCCTCTTAGGTGGTACTGAGTGATTCTAACAGGCTTCCTTGGCATTTCCTGCTGCGTGGTGAGATGGGCTCCTGTTAAATTCCCAGGTTGTGTTTGAAGGTGCGCAGCACGGATACAAGCCTTGAGGACCGACCGCCACACCTATGACTCCTTCTGCTAATGCATCAGCCCAGACCTGCTCAGTGATTCAGACTATTTATTTAGTCACAGGACTGGGTTTCCTTTAAGTTGGAAGGAAAAAAAAAAAGCAAAAACAAAAAAACCTACCACTTAGGCAAAATACGGCAGATCACAGAGTGGTTTATAACCTTCTTAGCCTGTAAATTCAAACCAATATTTTTTTTTATCAGAATTAGATCAGCCTGCCAGCTCAACTTTCCCTTAGCAAATGTTATTTCTATGACACCCTAAGTGTTTTTATTTCCACTGAAATTGACTCAGACTGTATAAAGCTCCAGTACATCTGCACACTTTTGAATAGAAAGAGCATTTTCGGCTCTTTTGAGGGGACCGTTATTTCACGGGTGTTTTAATTGCACCATATACCAACGTAACATCACACTCAACAGGGGTCTTCTTCCTTCACCATTTACAAAACACTGCAGGAACCAAATGGAATAGACCCGGGAAAAGATGACCCCGGAAGCAAAGGCCGTCTAGTCCGCTGCTGTTTCACTGGCGCCTGAGAGGCCGACTAGTCATAGATGTTTCCGATAAAGCACGTGGGTTTTACATGGGAGAAAGGTGGCCCTGGACACACAAGCTTGTGTTATGTCAATGATGCAGCCTCAAGTTGGTGTGCATTCAAGTGAACATTGTTGGCAGTGAGAAGTGAGTCTTCCATCTACTCCTTTTTTGTTGTTTAATTTTTAAAATATGGATGAAGGCAGGGTCCAAGTAACTTTCCTAGCCACTGCAAGAAAGAGCTCTCTATTTCAGAATCTTCTGGAAGGCCTCTCGGAAACATAGATCCTTAACGCTCAGCAGGTTCCAATGTTCCTCCTAAACTCTTTTCAGCATGGTTGCCTTTCTTAAACATAAAAGTCGAGAGAAGAAGACCCTGCCACCCCTTCACCGGTCATGCTCTTTTCTGCTCCGGCTTGCTTTTCTGTCTGTACACACTATAGAGCTAAGCGAGTAGAGAATTATCAAAATATTTTCAATTTTCTTGTTAAAATGACTCTCCCCAAGAGCTCCGAATGCTTGATTTCTATAGCCGTTCCGCCACCGCGATCCTTTAGCCCCCTTCCTCCCCGCTCCCCCAGCTCACGACTAACATGTTCATACTGGGTCCTGAAATTTCACGTTGGTTTTTTTTTTTTTTTCCTCACTGGGTCATTGATGGTAGTTTATTCTGTGTCTAGAAAAGGGATACATTTGACAGATAACTAATATCAATTACATATTCTGATCATGCCTTCTGCTCAGCTGTAATCACAGATATTTAATCATACGATAAGTTTTCCGGGGCATCTCCACCGCTAATTAAAGTACATCCGAGTGGAGGAAAACATCATCAGTTTTCCGGCTAAATTCAGCGTCTTGCCTCGCCGTCTACCCTAGCCTGGGCGTCTTATTCACTTTTCCAGTATTTAATGAGTCAACTAAACACAAAACCCAGTCATCCTGACTTGATTTCTCCACGCAATTTGTCATCCAATTAGTTGAACTTCGCCCTCCAGTTTGTTTTGCATCCATCCTATTGCTGCTGTTGGGTTACAGATTCATCGCCTCACTTTTAAGCACAGTCACTTCCTTCAAAGTTTCCTTCATCTTTCCCCTGTTATTTTCCTTGAAATCTGTTCCAAGAGAAGTCTCTAAAAATATCATTTGGTCCAGTCATTTTTTTTTTCAAGACAGGGTTTCTCTGTAGCTTTGAAACCTGTCCTGGAACTAGCTCTTGAAAACCAGGCTGGCCTTGAACACACAGAGATCTGCCTGCCTCTGCCTCCTGATTGCTGGGATTAAAGGCATGCACCATGACCTCCTGGCAGTCCAGTCATTTAAACTTATTTTTCAATAGAAAACCAACTTAGTATTCCTGGAATAGAGAATATTTGTAGTTGAATACTTTATGTAAGGCATTTTGTTTCCTTTACTGCCTCCATTATTTTACTTTACTTTTAATTTTCAAAAGTTTGTTGCATTTTTAAGCATAGTTTTCTCTGAGTTGTGTGAATTGGAGTTCATCGAATTTCTTGAATGAGTAAATTCTTACGTTCTATCAAGTTTGTGGATGTTTTTCATTCTTTGCTACTTCAGAAAAATGATTTTGTTTTGTTTTATTTTTTTTTTTCAAGACAAGGTTTCTCTGTAGCTTTGGAACCCATCCTAGAACTAATTCTTGTAGACCAGGCTGGCCTCAAACTCACAGAGATCTGCCTGCCTCTGTCTCCCGAGTGCTAGGATTAAAGGCATGCCCCAACACCGCCTGGCCAGAAAAACGATTTCTTTTCCTTGTTTTTCTTCTCATTTTGGGACTGCAAAACATTGTATTGTCAGTAATCATTTTGATGGAGGTCTCTTAAAGATTTGAATCTTTTTGTTCTTTTCAATGCCTTTACTTTTCAGGTTTTGACCTCTTTCCTCTTCCTTCTCCTCTGGTTCAACTCCAGGTTGAAACTAGCACCCCCTGCATGACTAGGTAAAGGCTATTTCTAAATTTTCGTCTAGATACCGTTCAGCACTGTGATTGCTTTATTTTATTCTATTTTGTCTTCAGGGAGTTGTTGGAAGCATATTTCTTCCATAATGTATGTGTAATTAGAAGTAAGGTCTAGTTGTAGTAAGTTTTTTCATCGGCGGCGAAAGTACCCTTTATTATCCAGTTTTGTGGAACTAAACGACATTCCTTGTGCATGATTACTTCCCGATGAATATCTCCAGTTACTATCTTTCCCTTGTGCTCTGGTATTTATATTTAATATCTGATATTTCTAATTGCAATGTTGACTAATCACCCAGTATAAACTTAAAACTGAACCCAGAATCCCCTTTCCATCTTTCAATCCTCAGATCTCACTCTTTCAATATCTTTAGAATCATCCTGAACTTAGTTCTCTCTCTCTTCTCCCTCTCTTCTTCCTCTCTTCTCTCTCTCTCTCTCTCTCTCTCTCTCTCTCTCTCTCTCTCTTCTCTCTTTGAGACAAGGCTTCTCTGTAGTTTGGTGCCTGTCCTGGAACTAGCTCTTGTAGACCAGGCTGGCCTTGAACTCACAGAGATCTGCCTGCCTCTGCCTCCCCGAGTGCTGGGATTAAAGGCGTGCACCACCACCACCTGTCCTGAACTTAGTTCTCTTAATGCCACATGTGAATCATTATCAAATCCCATTTGCTTAACTCTCAAAAGTTTTTGAATATTTTTGTTACATACATCCTCTATATTTCCATCTTGCTTAAAGTATTTTCATATCTATCATGGATTATGATAATTATAGTTTGGTGAATCTCTTGCTCATAAATATTATATTAATGATCCACCATCCTCAGATACCTGTGACATTTACAAAATATGTAATGGCTAGGGCTTATATTATAATATGTTAACCAATAAATGACCACAAAAGTGAACATCATATTTAATTAATTCAATTTATGGACACAATCAGCAAATTAAAAGTCATAGGTTTTACTAAAATGAGTGGCATTCTATACTAGAGCCTAATATAGTGATGTATTGGAAATAAAACATGCAATGTATTTGCAATACTAGAATTGGGATACAATCATAAATGGAGGCAGAATTGTAATTGGATTCTTGCTATCA